AAGTAAGCTAGGTTATACCCATTTCATGGCATATTCATATTATCTTAAGAAATAATGGCTTCAGTGTTTAGAAAAAACATATATGTGTATACATGTACATGTGTGTAAGCACTTATGTGTACAATTAAAAAAAATATTGAAAGAATGGTACATATTATTCCTAACCTGGCTGAGCCTCCATGAACTGAGATCACTCACCAGCTGCAGCTTCAGAGCTGCTCTCCATGGCACTTCCTGTATTAGACAGAGCTGGGATAATATGGGAAGCCAATTACCATAATACAGAGGAGGCGGAAGAACAAGCAGCTAGATCCTCACACTGCCCCAGCTAGAGGGAGGTACACGTAGAATTCATGGGTACAGACTCATAAGAATGTCAGCAAGCACAGACAAGGAACAGGAAATCTAGCCTGCTCAGAAGGGAGTTTTACCACATTTGTTCTTGAGACTTTACAATTCACAAGGAAGCTTTACACCAACCTTCACTTTTCCCTCTTCCAGCTGAGCTTGGCGAAATCTTGCTAAGGCCGTCCTATCAGGAAGAGAGAAAACTCCGTAAGATACTGCTCCCAGAGTTGTCATCCAAGTTCCTAGATGGGGTAGATCTGCTCATGACCATCATGTAAGGTATTCATTAATATGACTCATATATATATTATTATATACTTTTTTTAACTGTCCAAAGTATTTGTTAGTTGTTTATTTATCAAGGCAAACTATTCCATAACCCAATATTCACGCTTCATAGTTCAGGAACACAGGTCAGTGACAAACTTCAATTTAACTCAATCCAAAAAAATTCTTTACATTCCAAAATCACTCTGCACTCTGAAAGATACCAGCCTTCTTCATCTCCTCAAAATCTTTCATGGAATCATAATTTCTGTAGAAATCTGCACAGGCCTTCTTTCTTGGTTCGGCAACAGCAAACTTATAGAAAGCTGCAACCCCCAGGGATACAACGAAGGCTCCAACAACATGAAATCACAGACGCTTGGCCAGAAGGCCTCGCACCTGACATTCCATCAAAGTACTGGAAGTCATGGTAGTTATTCTCCTCGACACCAACCTCAAACCTAACATCCTTCCTAACTGATAAAGAAATGGACCTATTGGGGCGCCTGGGTGGCTCAGTGGGTTAAGCCGCTGCCTTCGGCTCAGGTCATGATCTCAGAGTCCTGGGATCGAGCCCCGCATCGGGCTCTCTGCTCAGCGGGGGGCCTGCTTCCTCCTCTCTCTCTGCCTGCCTCTCTGCCTGCTTGTGATCTCTGTCAAATAAATAAATAAAATCTTAAAAAAAAATGGACCTATTATATACTTTTTCATAATACTTACTCATTAAAAAAAAAGAGAGCATACACGAGCATGTGAAAGAGATTAAGTCACCACAGAGAAGTTATGGGTTTCCATGTTCCAACAGTGAGGGACTTAAAAAAGCCATTGGTGTTCCTGAACATCCAAGTAACTATTTTACTTACACTGGGTGTAAACACTGTGGGGAACTCCAAGCATCAGACCACTGTGGTGAGCAACACATCCAGATGTTAAAAGACTAATATCATGGGGTGCCCAGTTGTCACTCTCACACCCCCTGCACCATCCCCAAGTGAACTAATGTTTATCCAGTATAAGTTCTGGGATCTGTCAGAAAACATTAATGGGGAAAACAAACAGCAAATCTGGGAATACTATTTTAACACATGTAGAGAAAGAAACATACCAAAAGGACCAAACACAAAAAGAGCTCTGTGGTGATAAGTAACATAAAATTTACAAACAAAATTAAGTCGATACTTACATGGCCTTTTCTGCATTTCGGGCCTAAGAGAGAAGGGAAGAAAAATGCCCATGTTTAAAATACCCTTTTTTTCATGTACTATTTAGAGAAAAGTATCACAAGGACAGTCACAAACATAAAGTTTGAACTAGTATATGTACACTGTAACAACAACAACAACAGCAAAAAATCAACAGATGTCCAAATCCTGTGACGTGACTTACACTGCTCCCTCCACCTAAAATCTTTACCTCTCCACTACCCCACCCCCTTGGATCTGGCTAACTCCTATCCATCCTTCAAAATGTATCATCTGTGTCATCACCATCCCAGAAAGTTCTTCTGTAGCCTGTTCTTCCCAACGGGGCTACTACCTTTTGTTTGGGTTTATAACTACTGTGGTCCTTTCTACCCAACATCCCAATTGTCTGTTTCTTGCCAGCAGAATTTGAGAAAGAAAAGGCTGGCTTTTCCAAACTGAGTTTTATGTAAGTATTGTCATACTAGTGTCAAGACAATTGTCCCTGAAACACAGTGTCAAGCACAGAACATGTTTTCTGGGTTGTAGTATAAGTACTTCTGCTTATACTTGTACTTGTTGAGTCAGGGACTTGAATTTTACTCTCAGCTTACCATCCCTGAGAAGCATTCTCTGTTTCCCCATCTTTACAATAGGGATCATACCTCTTATCTCATAGAGATGTCATGATGACTTGATGAGAAAAATACATGAAAACATCAGGTATGCAGTTTATACTCAGCAAAAGCGAGCTCAATTTAAGTATCATTTCTGGTCCTCCCTTTCAATGACCACAGGAAAAAACTTGGCGAAAGCTGGGTAGATACATGAACACATTATCTACTACGGTATAAAACAGCGCAGCTTTCCCAGGGGAAACCATCATCTTGAAGGCTGAGGCAGTGTCCTACCTATTTCATTAAATCCTAGAGATTCTGAATATTTAATTGAATGTTTCTCAATGCTTACTCCACCTTAAAATACCATGGTAGGTGCTAGCAATTGAGCCATGGATCTTCTTCTTGAGGGGACTTCTTGGAATTCCCCCCACCCCAAAACAATGAATAAATGTGATAAGGGAATAAATATATCCAGGATAATGTAGGCCCACAAATACAAATGTGTGATGGTTAGAGTGTTATAAAATAACCAACAACTCCTGTACCCAGAAATATCCAGGCCCAGGGAGCCCTCTCCCCTGCTAGGGAATGGAGAGATGGATTCCCTGTGCTTGCTAGAGTTCAGAAAGGAAGAGCCTCAAGGCTGAGCAGAGCAGTATGAAGCAGTAATTTGGGGCATATTCTCCCACAGAAAGGGCTGCTTCTAGCCCACTGGTTTCTCCCCTTCTTCGGATCTTGGGGTCATTAATCTACAAGAGCTTGCAATAAATACATCTACAACCTTATTACTGCATCGTGTGGTTCTTACGGGGGCTTCACTTAATGAAAATATTATGGTTACCAAGATATATGAGCAACTTTTTCGTACCAGCGCGATGTGCATTCTCACATTTACTTGCCGTGAGCGCTGCTGCACGAATGGAGAAGCCAACAGACCACTCCAGACCACAGAGATCACACCCTCACGCAATAACACTATGTCATCCGTTCAATCATTATTGAACACCACAACGTGCCAGACGCCGTTTTAGACATTAAGAAAGCAATGGTGACTTCGTGAAGTTTGTATCTCGTGGGGGAGACCGAGAACACATAAATCAAATAACCCAGAAACATATTGTCACAACCGCTGTTCATCTCCCGTATGAGACTTGGGGACAAACAAGTGGGCCCACGCCGGGCACCGTGACTTGGGGCCGGTCCTTGCGCCTCTCTGTGCCTTACTTTTCCCGAGCGGTAACTTAAAGCGCTTGATCGACAATGAAAACACTGTCAGAGAAGGTAACTCCTCCGCTCCTGAGGTTCCCGTTTCCTCCCCCAACTTCTGACAGCTGTAGCAAGGAGGAAAAAAACCCCAAGTTACAGGTAGCCCAGGAGCCTGAAGCCTGCAGTGATGCCCGGCTGCGCGAGCCTACACCGAATGGGGCCGGGAGCCCTCACAGCCCGCCCGCTCGCCCCCTCCATCACGCACCCACCCAACTCACCATGGTTGAGCGAGGGTGCCGCCTTGGGGCCGCGCGGCCCCAGCCCCCGGAGCTTCACCGCCTCCCGCGAGGGAGAGCCTAGCGGGAACAGAAATACCCTAGGCGACCGCACCGCCTATTTTTCTGTCGGAAGGACAAATGGGAAGGACCGGAAGTGGGGAGCCGGAAGTGAAGTTGAAGAATTGACAAGGGGAGGAGGAAACGAGAGCGCGCGCCTGTAAGGCTGGTCCTCCCTAGGCGTCTGGAGGTTGCACCAATACACGCGTACGAAGGATGGGCGGGGCGAGTGTTGGCAAAATTGCGCTTGCGTAGTGAGACTGATATGTTTGGCTTAGCCCCCTGGTTTTGATCTCGCGATAGCAAGTTTTCTCGCGTTAATTATTGGTATTGCGGAAGCTGGCGATACCTCCTGCTGTTGAGACTGAACTGTTTGGCGTCACGGTTGATACTGTAGGTCGCATCCCTCCGTCCCCCTTTCTGCTTCTTCTGGTGAGAGCAAGCGTGCACTTGTGGAAATCGCTCATCCTCATGCCTCCGAACGAAGTCGTCCCAGCCTGCAGGCCAGGCAGCTCCAGAAGTGGAAGGCGCAGACTCCAGCTAGCGGGCGCTGAAACGCCTCTTTGGGCAGAGCAGAGCGAGTGCTCTCCAGGAGCTCGAACTGACGGGGCTTCGTTAATTCCTTCGCGTTTTCCTGTCATTTGCGTGGGGCCTTTTTCCGAGCTCTTCTGGAATCGCGGGCCTTATCAGAGCTGGACCGGTACTTGAAGTCACTTTCTTTTAAAGTAAAAAATGTAAGGAGCGGGGAAGAAAAAGCTACCTACTCGGAGGAGGAGGTTGGTTAGAGAGGTGGTATGTGTAGCACTACCAGAGAGATGCGGTCAGTGTGTGATGAGCTTACTGCTAGGATAAGATGATGGTTAGACAAGGATCCCGGAACACGGGAGAGGCCACTTGATGGGTGGGTATGGTTCTGGGGGCTCCTCCCGTACGGTGTCCAGAGCTGTGGTGTAAAATTCAGGCGAAGGACGGTAGCAAATTAAGCCAGTAACAGCAGCTCTCCCTTTTCAGTGCCTTCCTCTGTCAGAAGACCTAACCAGAGAGCCGAGAATGGGCGAAGAGGGGAGCTTCTGAGCAGCACGCCGGCCTCCTCTCCTCACCTCATCTCGCTCTCGAGGCCTGCCCGTCCCGCCGCCTGCTCGCCGCCCAGCAGAACAACGTCCACCATGGCCACCTCCGCGAGCTCCCACCTGAACAAAGGCATCAAGCAGTTGTACATGTCCCTGCCTCAGGGCGAGAAAGTGCAAGCTATGTATATTTGGATTGACGGGACGGGAGAAGGATTGCGTTGCAAGACCCGGACCTTGGACAGTGAGCCCAAGTGTATAGAAGAGTTGCCTGAGTGGAATTTTGATGGCTCTAGTACCTTTCAGTCCGAAGGCTCCAACAGTGACATGTATCTCGTCCCCGTTGCCATGTTTCGGGACCCTTTCCGCAAGGACCCCAACAAGCTGGTGTTCTGTGAAGTCTTCAAGTACAACCGGAAACCTGCAGAGACCAATTTGAGGCATACCTGTAAACGGATAATGGACATGGTGAGCAATCAGCATCCTTGGTTTGGAATGGAGCAGGAGTATACTCTCATGGGCACAGATGGGCACCCTTTTGGTTGGCCTTCCAACGGCTTCCCTGGGCCCCAAGGTCCATACTACTGTGGCGTGGGAGCAGACAAAGCCTATGGGAGAGATATCGTGGAGGCTCACTACCGAGCCTGCTTGTACGCTGGCATCAAGATTGCTGGGACAAATGCTGAGGTCATGCCTGCCCAGTGGGAATTCCAGATAGGACCTTGCGAAGGAATCGACATGGGAGATCATCTCTGGGTGGCCCGTTTCATCTTGCATCGTGTATGTGAAGACTTTGGAGTGATAGCAACCTTTGACCCTAAGCCCATTCCTGGGAACTGGAACGGTGCGGGCTGCCACACCAACTTCAGCACCAAGGCCATGCGCGAAGAGAACGGTCTGAAGTACATTGAGGAGTCCATCGAGAAACTGAGCAAGCGGCACCACTACCACATCCGAGCCTACGACCCCAAGGGGGGCCTGGATAACGCCCGGCGCCTGACCGGATTCCACGAAACGTCCAACATCAACGACTTCTCCGCCGGCGTGGCCAACCGTGGGGCTAGCATCCGCATTCCCCGGACTGTCGGCCAGGAGAAGAAGGGTTACTTTGAAGACCGTCGCCCCTCTGCCAACTGTGACCCCTTTTCCGTGACAGAAGCCCTCATCCGCACATGTCTTCTCAATGAAACTGGCGACGAACCCTTCCAGTACAAAAACTAAGTGGACTAGACTTGCAGCCGTCAAACCCCTCCTCATTCTCTCTCCATCCTGCCTTCATGTTTGCCCCTCTCTCGACCGTCCTAATAGCTGTAACTCAAAGGGCGGAATATCAAGGTCTTTTTTTATTCCTCATGCCCAGTTAATATCTCTTTGCTTCCTTTGGCCAGGATAGAGGGGTCAGGTTCTTAATCTTTTTACACCCCCGCCCCCCATCTTTTTTTCCCTGTCACTGATGCTGTCTAGTACCTTAGTGGGGAGGGGGTGGGGAGGCATAACCACTGTTTGCAGTTAATCAGGTGTGTTTGTCCAGTAGGCGTAGCGATCCGGACAGAGCATAGTGTTTGTGAAGGGAGGGGGAGGGCTCTTTCTTCCAGCTAGCTGAGTGTTGGGGGAGGGGGGGTTACTTACTTACTCTGGGGTTAGGTTAGGATTTCCCCCTCTTGGTGGGGAGTTCCTCTTGGTGTCAGGTTATAACCAACTTTCTATTAAAAGTGAGACTTAGGAGAGAGCCAGGCAGTAAATGCACCCCCGTCCTCCTGGTACAGGGCTTCCCTCACCCAGGCCAAAATGGCCCTCCCCTGAAGACAAGCTCAGCATAAGGATGGATTGACCTACCTTAGAAGAAAAAGTTCTTAACTGCTTGGTCCTTCATTTATAACACAAAGCAGAGTAGTATTTTTATATTTAAATGTAAAAACAAAAAAAATTATATATATGGGTGTGCAGATATGTGTGTTTTTTTTCTAAAGGAAGAAGAACATTCTGGTCACCGGGGAGCCAAACTGGAGACAAATAGTCTGGTTGGAAATAAGGGATCTCTTCTTGAGTGGGGGTGAGGGAGGCAGTGCTTGCAAAGCTGGCTCTCTGGGGCCCTTTGCTGTTCCCTTGCTGTCACTGTAGGGTCCTATGTCCTCTGCCCACTCTTCCGGAGGTGGGGGTGGACACCTGGTCGGGTTGACAGGTGCAGGCACGTTGTGGAAGGAGCGCTCACCTGAGCCCCGCAGCTTTGGTTTAAAAGACACACATGCCCACACGGATTTAGAAATAAGAGTTGGCTGGTCAACTTGAGCATGTTACTGACAAGGGGTGATTGGGATTATTTTCTGGTGGGACTAGCATGTCACTAAAGCAGGCCTTTTGATATATTAAAATTTTTTAAAAAGCAAAACCAGAAGTTTAGATTTTAATCCTGCTCGTAGGGTTTCTGAGTCTCTTTCTTTTGACAGAATGGCTTGTTGGCTTCAACGGTCCCCTTCCCATCTCCGCTCTCTGAGGAGACGGGGACAGCCTGGAGTCAGAACACGGGTCGTTTTGTGTCCTGGTGTTGATTCTCTGAGTGTGAGATTCTCCTTCCCTTTGTTCAGATTTCTGAGGAGTTTCTTTTTCTTTTATAATAAAAAGCAAACCCCACCTTGGTCCCTCCCAAAAAAAAAAAAAAAAAAAAAAAGAAGACCTAACCAATGGTGAGCACTTCGGCTCCAACCTGAGACACAAGTCCGCGGGGGAAGGCAGCTGACTTGTGGTTCAGGATCAGGCAGGACAAGTACTTGGAAGAGTGACACCAGAATCTCATGCCTGAACCATGGTAAGGACAAGTTGTCTCCCTAAAAGTTTCAGGTGGGCATTTGGCCACCCAACTAGACTCCATCTTCCCACGTTTCTGGCAGCTAGTTACGGGTTTGTGATTGTATAATAGTCAATGGGAACTGAATGAGAGGAATGTGTGCCACTTAGGCAGTGTCATGAAAAGTATGGACATGCCTTTCCCTTTGCCCTTTCCCTTCCCTACTGAGAGGCGAGTATGGCAACAGCCACCTTCAACTCAGAAATGGAAGAATTGTGAGGATGCCAGAGCCACCTCCCAGCTGTGCAATATCTAGCTCTGTAGAATGAGAAAAATAAATATCGTCTTGCTTAAGCTGCTGCATTTGGGGGTCTTCTATTGCCTTTATTAACCTTTACCATAAGTAACACATAACAAGCTTGTTGATCCCAAACAAGCAAGGTCATTCCTCACTCAAATGAATTTTTCTGAGACAGAAGTTTCTCAGACTTCTGTATCTTTATCCATTAAATCCCTGACACTAGGATGCAGAGGTCATATGAAACAGGATTCATAAGTCATTACCTATATTGGTTGTTCTTCCAGGATTCGTTATGCCTACCCACTTACCTGAACTCCATTTGGGCAGGGGAAGGGAACTACATTCCTAGCTTTAAGAACAGAATAAGAAAGCTAGGTTAAGCCAAACAATCCATGTCATCTCCCTATGAATATTGATTGAGTGGTGGGCTTAAGACCCAGGCTGACCCAGAGTGAGTCTCCAGACTTTGCTTGCAGTGCTGGGTGGATGTCAGAACAAACGTAATCAGAAGCTGCTCTCAGCCACTCTAGGACTCCAAGATAAGACTCAGTATTTGGGGACCTAAGTGAGTTGCTGAATAAGGCCTCAAGCCCACTGCTCAGTCTTCACTTATATAGACCAATAAACTCTCTTTAGTGTAGAAACCAGTAAGAGTCAGACTTACCGTAAACTAAGAGCATCCTGATGATACCATTCATCCTGCTACAGTCTGCTAATGTCCTTTCTTTCTCTGTGCACACTGGTCCTGTCTTTGCCCATACTGTTCCTTCTGCCCGCAGCACCCTTCCTTCATTTTGCTACCCAACTAATCCCGTTTATGCCTTCCTCATTTGAGACAATTTAGACAGCCTTAGATGACTTAACTTCTGTGTTTAATTTCTAGTCTGTGAAATTGCCATAATAGTATTTACCTTTCTATTTTCATTTTTCCTCATTCATGATATTGGGACATTTGCTTTAGAGTTGTTAAAAGAGGAAACTATATATAAGGTGCTCAGAACAGATCTATGTAAAGTACTCAATTATTTTAAAACCAAAAACCCCATGATCTGCAAGTCACATCTATTATGTGGCCTTACCCAAGTCTATGTAGTCAGCTGGTCCAGCCTCAGGGACTCTGTAAAAGCTCTTTTGGCCTTTTTTTTTTTAGAATCTGTTTGTCAGAGAGAGTGAGCATAGGCAGGGGGAATGGGAGAGGGAGAAGCAGGCTCCTAGCTGAGCAGGGAGCCCGCTGTGGGGCTGGATCCCAGGACCCTGGGATCATGACCTGAGCTGAAGACAGACACTTAACTGAGCCACCCAGGCGTCCCTCTGATGACCTTTAAATAACCGAATTTTAGATTTACAGGCTTTGCCCTACTGGAATCTTATCTTGTTTTGGTTTTTTATCTCTGCCCCATAGGTCTGGCTCGTGAGATAGAATAGCCAAATGAGTAAAGCAACAGAGACACTAGCACTGTACTGCCTTTTTTGGTGTGCCAACAGCCCCAACTTACACTGTTTCTCTCAGCCACCCTGTAAATCTGAACAGCCTGTTGTATTGCTAAGATTTTCTTTACTTACATCCCAATGTCAATCCTAAATATCTTATCTATGCATCCACAATTGTGACCTATCATTAGATCACATCACTAATCTACAGAACAACTGTAAACTTACCAGCAGGCTGAATTTGGCCTACAGAGTTGGTTTTGACTTCTGTCGTGAAGAACGGGAAAATCTCACACAGAAATCCTGATATGAGGCAACACTAAACCCTTCTTCCTGCACGGTAACTGTCAATACAGGTGAAAACCCTGGGTGGCTGAGTTGGTTAAGCACCTAACTCTTGATCTCAGGTTCTTGAGTTCTAAGCCCTGCATTGGGCTCCATGCTGAGTATGGAGCCTACTTAAAGAAAAATGCAAGTAAAACATCCTAATGTTAGGGGCGCCTAATGTTAGGGGCTCAGTCATTAAGCGTTTGCATTCCGCTCGGTTCATGATCCCAGGGGCCCAGGAATGAGCCCCACATCGGGCTCCCGGCTCCCCGGGAAGCTTGGTTCTCCCTCTCCCACTCCCCCTGCTTGTGTTCCCTCTCTCGCTGTTCTCTGTCAAATAAATAAATAAAATCTTTATTAAAAAATCCTAATGTTAGGGGCGCCTGAGTGGCTCAGTGGGTTAAAGCCTCTGCCTTCAGCTCAGGTCATGATCTCGGGGTCCTGGGATCGAGCCCCGAATCGGGGGGGGGGGGTCTCTGCTCAGCAGGGAGTCTGCTTCCCCCTGTCCCCCCCACCCCGCCTGTCTCTCTGTCTACTTGTGATCTGTCAAATTTAAAAAAAAAAATCTTAAAAAAAAATCCTAATGTTGGGTCAGTGCATGTTAAAATCTACAAGTGGTTTGGAACTGGGCAATTGACAAATGCTGGAGGGATTATGGGGATGATAGGAAAAACCTAGAATGCTTTCTGCAAATTGTTAGTACAAACATGGATAATAACAACTCTGCTAGTGAGGACTCAGAAGGAAGTGAAGAGCTCAACAGAGAAAATCTGTGTCGTAGAGAATACATAAATAGAAATATGGACACTAAAAGCACTGCTGGTGAGGGCTCAGAAGGAATTGGGAATGTTATCAGAAATTGGAAAAGGGGCACCTGGGTGGCTCAGTGGGTTAAAGACTCTGCCTTCAGCTCAGGTCATGATCCCAGGGTCCTGGGATCAAGCCCCGCATCGGGCTTTCTGCTCGGCAGGGAGCCTGCTTTCTCCTCTCCATCTCTGCCTGCCTTTGTGCCTACTTGTGATCTCTGTCAAATAAATAAATAAAATCTTTAAAAAAAAAATACTCTGCCTTCAGCTCAGGTCATGATCCTGGGATGGAGCCCCGCATCAGGCTCTCTGCTCAGTGGGGAGCCTGCTTTCCCCTCTCTCTCTGCCTGCCTCTCTGCCTACTTGTGATCTCTGTCAAATGAATAAATATTTTTTAAAAACTGGAAAAAAGGGAAATCCTTATATGATAGAAACGTAGCTGAGTTGTAGCCTAGTTATGTGGCAGGTGGAATTTGTATATGACAAACTTGGATATTTAGCTAAGAGGGGTTTTGGTTTCTTTTTTGATGCTTATAGTAAAATGCAAGAGCAAAGATAACCTAAGGAAGTACTTAGATAACCTAAGAGCAAAGATAACCTAAGGAAGTACTGTTAAAACAGATCCTGAATTTGATGATTTGAGAAAATCTTAGCCTATCCATACTACAAAAGATGCTAAAATTAGGAGATTCACTGGAAAGTGTGCTCTGGAGAAAAAGCTAAGGGTGTGGTTGAACCACCTTTTTCTAGTGCCTCAGAATGATCAAAAGGTCAGAATATTCATCCACTTTGGAGATAGGGTAAGAGATTAGGTGTGTGACTCCTGAATCCTTTCAATCATTGCAGCAGAACCCAGGACAGAGATGGAATTATCCAGGAAAGTTCTGTGGAGGAGCCTCTTGTCTAATGAAGTGAATTCCCATGACAAACACAGAAGACGCATAAGGCTGTACTGCCAGCTTGGACTCCAATGGACGGAAAAAGAACAAAATGAAAAAAGGCTGTTGAATTCCCAAAATTTCATATGGAGGAAACAAGCTGATAAATCTACTCAGCTATACTGGGACGCCTGGGTGGCTCAGTCAGTTAAGCATCTACCCTTGGCTCAGCATCTACCATTGGCTCAGGTCATGATCCTGGGTTCCTGGGATCTAGTCCCGCATTGGGCTCCTTGCTCAGCACAGAGCCTGCTTCTCCCTCTGCCTGCCGCTCCCCCTGCTTGTGCTCATTCTGTTAAAAAAAAAAAAAAAAAAAAAGGAAAGGGGTTGGCTCCTGGGAGGTCAGCGGTTGGCTCCTGGGAGGTCAGCTTGAGCCTGGAGAATATCCTCAACCATTAAACCTGATACTGTTTGCCCAGCTAGATTTTTTAATTGAGACCAGTGACTCCCTTTTCCCTTCTAGTTCCTCCTATTTTAAAGGGCCATATCTGTTACTAATGTCCTATACCTTTATTACCATTGACTTTTGGGAGAAGATAACTTAAAACCAAACCAGTGATGGGGAGGAATTTCACCCCAGGATAGATCATATCTAGCTCTCACCTATACCTGATTGATTGGATTTATTTTTGTAAAGATTTATTTACCTGGCAGAGATCACATGTAGGCAGAGAGGCAGGCAGAGAGAGGTGGGGGAAAGCAGGCTCCCCACCGAGCAGAAAGCCCGATGAGGGGCTCGAACCCAGGACCCCGGGATCACGACCTGAGCCAAAGGCAGAGGCTTTAACCCACTGAGCAACC